TTTTCTTCTTATTTGGTGTTGAAGCTGTTTATAGCGCGTCTTATTGATGGTTTTGTTTTTTCTCCTTTCATTCATCAACTCTAGAATTTCCTCTGTCATCCTGTCATCCTCCGTAAATTAGCATTGGCCTAATGACAACAGTGTAGATCCAGGCGATCTCATAAGCAATATATCCTCTTTTAGCTCTACCATCTAAAATACATGTTAACTTCCTGTCAAGGGTAATACTAAGTTATTTTAACTCATCAAAAAAGTTTAGACTGTAGTTTAGAATCCTTGGAGGTATTAAGCTTATGATTCTTTTTTTTTCTATGTCTTCTTAGGATTTATAAATAGTGAGTGTTTCTCGCACCATGTTTCTATTAGTCGGAGAGCAACTTGTTATCTCTCACTTAGTGGGTTCTCAAACTTGCCGCTTTGTAGAACAGCAATATCGTCTGCATAGGCTATGGTGTAGAACCTATTGCTGCTGAGTTGGTCAACAAGGGTATCTAAAACTATGTTCCAGAGGATTGCTGATAGCACTCCTTCCTGTGGACACCCCCTCGTAACCATGCCTTTAACAAAAACGTCTTCTACATTTATGCTTATTGCTCTATTAGACAGCATACTAAATATTTATTCGCTCACGGTCAGAGGAAGGTTCCTGACATTGACCTGTTGGGTAATGGTTGGGAATGCGATTTTTTCAAACGCTCCCTCAATGTCTATGAATATACCTAGGGTGGATTCTTTATTATCCAGCGATCTTTCTATTATTCCCACTACTTGATGCAGTATATAATCGGCAGATCTTCCCGAATAATATGCATGGTGATTTGAGTGAAATGGGTTATGAAGCAGAACTTTATCCCTCATGTATTTCTTGCATGGCCTTTCCATCGTTTTCAAGAAAAACGATGTTAGGCTAATTGGTCGAAAAGCCTTTGGCACCATACCTAGTTTTGTATTGAAGACTACACATACCTCTCTCCATTTCCTAGGAACATATCTCAGAACCAAAGGGGTAATTAATTATTTTTCGGACTTTTAATTATATATATGACGATATGCCGATGTGGATCCTGCGATTATGTGGAGAGCGATTTTTGTGACCTGGAATCCTGCGGGAAATCTTCAATTTCCTCACAGTCGGCTCTGCAAGCAGCTGTTTGTGTTTGTCTGCAGACTTTTTAAACTCTCTGAGGTTTGATTGATAACAATTCCAATCCTGTTTGACTTATTGCGTTTTGCTCTATTAAAAGCTGTTATGGCTGTCTTCCTAAGGTTTTCATTTCAGTGCACCACCAAGAGTTGGTTTTGCGACTTTTCTGGTCCATCCTTATCGGACAGGATTTTTTATAAGCATAGCTTATTTTATTTTGGGTACTACCCGATACTCTTCCGAGAGTCGATTGTAAGGTTCTACATCCGTCCTTCTAGAGTCGCGAGATTTGATATGGCTTTTTCCAGACTAATAGTATAAGTTAGCTAGCGGTAGTCAGACATAGAGATGTCCTTCGATACCTGCCAGTTCTCAATTTTACTCGATATTTCAGCTGTTGCTACCGTTTTATATATATATATATATATATATATATATATATATATATATATATATATATATATATAAGAAAAAAGAAGTACTTGTGACTCGTTTGGAAAAAATATAACACTGTTTTTGATGGGTTGGAGTCAATAAAAGGGCTATTTGTTGACTATTTTTTACTCGAGCTTTCAATTGTGATTACAATTTTTATCAAGAGCTTCTAAAAAATACAAAATGTCTTACAAAGTTGAACTAGAAATAAAAAATTTTTTGTTAACTCACCAAATAAAATTAGTTTTTTTATATAAAACTACTGCTTACATAATAAATACAAAAAATATTAATAAAAAAATGCCTTATTCTAATAAATGTTTCTCTGAAAAATTTAGATGAAGTTTCTTAAGAAAAAATTGAATTTATAAACAAAAATAGTATTTATGTCATTTTAGGCTGTTTGTAGCTATTCTATTTTTGTTTATAAATTCAATTTTTTCTTAAGAAACTTCATCTAAATTTTTCAGAGAAACATTTATTAGAATAAGGCATTTTTTTATTAATATTTTTTGTATTTATTATGTAAGCAGTAGTTTTATATAAAAAACTAATTTTATTTGGTGAGTTAACAAAAAATTTTTTATTTCTAGTTCAACTTTGTAAGACATTTTGTATTTTTTAGAAGCTCTTGATAAAAATTGTAATCACAATTGAAAGCTCGAGTAAAAAATAGTCAACAAATAGCCCCTTTTATTGACCCCAACCCATCAAAAACAGTGTTATATATATATATATATATATATATATATATATATATATATATATATATATATATATATATAGTAAACTCTTAAATATTGGGGAAATTTGCAAAAAAAACTAATGTGTATCAATTATTTCACATAACGTTTTCGCCAAAGAGAATTAATTTGGCTTCTTCAGGGCTGAAAGAGAATAAATTATAATTAGCTACCATATATTATCTAATAAAAAACATTTACCTTACCGTAAAATTTTAGAAATGTCGAGTTATGATGTTAAAAACTTTAGCTAGTAACAACATAGTGGTGTTTTTTTGTTACTATGTGCAAAAAAGTTTATTTGTTAACGTTGGAAATGTATGGTAGCTTTGAACTTAAAACGCAAAGGTTTACCCAAGGACAATCGAAATACCCAATGTAACTACATTTAAAGGAAGTAATTCTTTGAATTGTCGGCAATAACTAAATTTTTAATTGTTGTAAAGTTTGAATGTGAGCTTCTGTTTTCATAGAACGCAAGCGCCGAACAATTACAAGTAGTGCTTTTGATATCTATGTCGTTGAGGTTCATTGGTAAAACCGATGAAGTTAGATCCCAGTCTGGGGAGATATTAGTTTAGAATTTTCTTAATTGAAATTCTTTTTTTTTTAATTAGTATATTGTTCATGTATTATTATAATAATATCTTATTGAGATGTATCTAAGAAAAGCAAGGGAATGTTATCTTTTTTTGTTAATGAAAATTATTATTAAAGCAGGTTAGTTGTTAATAGATATATCAGTCAAGTTAGTTATCTGTGATGTTGTATTGTTCTTGGTATCTGATTTAAGTAAGAAGTGGTATATATCGCTTAGATTCTTAATGTCACTCTTAACATTGGAAAAATCGTTAAGGAAAATATAAGACATTTCAATGAACTCTCTTTTAGATTTATTGTTCTCACGGTGGAGAATTGTAGTGTTCGTATAGTCCATGTGATGACCAGTGGAATGGACATGTTTGGCTAATGCACAGCGGTTAGGGTGAAGTCGAGAACTCTTTGTAACATTCTCTTTGGCCATCGTTGATCATTCATCCTTTCTACATGGCCATACCATTTCAGCCTTTTGCATTCTATAGTTTCCAGGATGTCAATGTCTATACCCATACGCTCTCTAATTTCAGTATTCCTTACTCTATCTCTTCTAGTGAATTGGCAACATCTTCTCCAATAATTCATTTCCATTGCTTTTATTTTCGACGCGTCATTTTTATTTATTACCCAAAGCTCTGAACCATGTGTAGCAATGCTTTCTATGATACTTTTGTATATCCTAATTTTTGTGTTTCGTGTGATGTGGTTATTCCAAAGTACACTATTCAGTTGACGTATTGCTGAATTTCCTTGACCAGTTCTAGTATAGAATTTATTATTGAATTTTTTTAGGATTTTAGAAATACATTTTTCGACAAGATTAGGTTGTAGATGCTGAGTAAGTATTTTGAAATAGGTAGGGGAGGTTTTTTAGAAAAATAGTGGATATATTATCTGGACCAGGGCAATAGTTGTAAGAGTTTTTCATTACTGTTTCTAATTCATCCATCGATATTGGAAAATTTAGTTCGCTATTATTTCTGATATTTATAATCTATGGTATATTTTTGTTCATTTCTTTTGTTCTATACAAAATTTGGTAAAGAGTTTGGCATCGCTCGAATTTATTTCAATTGGTGAAACGTCTGCTACATAAGATTAATCAAGCTATTTAAGTTCTTAATCGTTTAAATTCTAAAGAATTTTCTTCATTTTGTAAAACTATGAATAGTTTAAACTATTACTGGTACTTAACAAAATATTAATAATAACAACATTAATAATAAAACTTATTTACAAAAACGAAAAATAATAAAACTTACCTTTATTAGCTTAAACTTGTAAACTGTGCCAGAAACATCTCCAAGGAAATTCTAGCATATCGAATTTCCTTTTGGACGATCAACTTAAGGTACTTTTTGTAAAACAATAATAACCTTAAGTTGTATTTAAAGAAGCTGTTTAAGTTCTTAGAATTTATTATTTAATTTAATAAAAAATATCACTAAATAACTTATGAATTACCAGGGACCGTTGAAGATTTCTATACAGAATTATAGAAAAGTCAACAAAACCACGATGATCAACTAACAGAAAAGTAGTTACATAATTAAAACTAATAAATTCAGGGAAAAGATTGGTCAACGAAGGATCGGAATTGATGTCTGATATATTAACAGACGTAGAATATTAGAAGCCGTAAAGATTAGAGGAGGCATACATTTAGAGAATATAAAGGAATTGTTCAACTTAGGTCTGCACCAAAGTGAAACACCTACAAAATGTCACGCTGCACTTACCATTTTATTCCACAAATAATCCAACAGACCTTGAGAATTACCTACCCATAAGCTTGTTAAACCACCTCTACGGTATTCACAAAAATAATAATAAATAGACTAGAAACAAAATTAGATTATTAACAAGCAAGGGAACAGACAGGTTTTAAGAAAAACTTTGGCACTAATGACCACCTCCACTGCACAAAAGGGGTTATAGAAAAATCCATCGAAAACAACCAACCATTGGTCATGGCATTAACTTCTGGCACAGTTAAACTAGCATCTCAGGCACTTGCGTTGATAAACATTTTTTATTTTTTTTTTATTACTAAAGGTTATCATGAAAAAAAAACAAACACAAAGAAGTAGATCCTTGTATTATTCTTAGTATATAAATTATTAAAAATATCTCATAAAAAATATTCAAATTAGTCAACTTTGATCACATAAAATTCATTTTTAACAATAGGAGAAAAGTATTGGTATCACTTTGACAGTTTTTGGATATTCTCACATTCCTTCTGACATTTCTGACAACTCATCATTGAATTACTGAAACAAGTAAAACAAAATATCAAAAATATTATGATTATCATTACATTGTTAGGCTTATTTATATTAAAAAACATTGTTTGTATTAGATTTAAAATACTAAAGTTATCAATTAGAATTGGAAAATTTAATCCTTTACGAGAAGTGTAGCATGAATGATATACTTATACAATGCTACAACTCGAGGGGACTGTTAAACCACAGTTAAGACAAAATAAGAAAAAATGCGACAAACCAACATGATTTACTAACCACGCTGATAATCATACTAAGCACTGACAAACCCACAAAATCGCCACAATTATGCCGAGTTCATGTAATAATAAGAGAAATGCCTGTTTAAAATACACAAACCTACAGATAAAGCAATGCTTGTGATCATTTTGATAGTTTTTATATTTATGATACAATGCTTTATTTTACTTACCTAATAAGCTTTCTTAAATTTTCATTTTCCGTCGATAAGGAATGTAACTTTACTTCTAAGGAATCAATGGAAGCATCTTTTTCACGGACTTGTTGTTTGAGATAACTAATGGTTTCTTCTAAGGCCTCGAATATTGCCTGAAAACAAAATAAATCGTCAAATTCTTCTACAATAAAGAAATTCCGTTACATCTAGACTCTAGTGGAAAAGTTCTAAACGGAGTAAACCAAGAACTAAAAACACAAAATAAAGTAATTGTTGTTACGTGTATTATGACTCGGAGTATCAGGTAGTGTTGTTTTTTGAGAGATCAGATGGTAGAAGATCAGTAGGCCGACCGAGAAAAAGATGGAAGGATGATGTTGAAGCCGATTTATCTAGAATTGGGGTACAACAATGGGAAATAGAAGTGCAAGATCGTAGAGGATGCAGTGAAGAAGAAGTATCAGGTAGTAGTTACGGTGCGATGGATGAAGTAGAAGAAAACGAGTGGTATGTTGTGTGACTGAAAGATTCCAATAAATCTAAAGGAAAAATTCTATAAAACGGCGATGAGACCTGCTATGACGTACGGAACTGAATTTTGTGCAGTTAAAAATAAAAACGTTGATACTCGTCACATATTTATCGACTATAAGGCAGTCTACGACTCTGTGAATAGAAGAGAAATGTTCAAAGCAATGCAAGAGCTAGAAATACCAAATCAGTTGGTAAATTAAACGAATTGATGGGAAACTGTCTGAACCTTTTAAAATAAATAACGGGATGCGCCAGGGAGACCCTCTCTCCAGTATATTGTTTAATCTGGCTCTGGAAAAAGTAATACGTATGTCACAAATCACAAACATTGGTTCAATATATAACAAATCAGTACAAATCCTTGCCCATGCTGATGATACCAATATTAAAAAAAATTTTGTTTAAAATCCTTTATAAAAGGTATATAGAAATGCTTCAAACGGGCTATCACAAACACATTGCAAAACGTTTTCGGATTAAACAATCCATCATCAGTGCAAACGGTTGTACATGCTAGTAGCCACCAAAATATATGGGTAAAAACCCTTTAAATGTTATGAATTTGAAGTTGTTTTACATTATTAGTATTTCTAATTTGTGATGGTTAAGTTACCGTTGGATAGGTAACATGGCGGCGTATGACTCTACATGAGTGAATACGCCGCCATGTTACCTATCCAACGGTAACTTAACCATCACAAATTAGAAATACTAATAATGTAAAACAACTTCAAATTCATAACATTTAAAGGGTTTTTACCCATATATTTTGGTGGCTACTAGCATGTACAATAGGGTGTCCCGAAAAATCGCTTTTTGTTTTTGTTTAATACAAGACCTCTTGAAATTGGGGTAATTGCTCGTAAATTATCACAATAATTTTTAAAAAATTATAACAATATATCTTTAGGGTTCTACCAAACTTTAAAGTTTTGAAAAATTGTCATTTTTATGGTAATATTTCACTATACTTAATTTCGCATCCTGAACTAAATATAAAACATTATTTAATGCAAGACCTCTTAAAATTTATGTAATTGCCAATAGATTATCACAGTATTTTTAAAAATAAAATAAAAATATATCTTAAGGGTTCTACAGATATTCAAAATTTGGAAAAATTGTCATTTTTGTGATAATATTTTTTCGGCTCCTGAACTAAAATAAATTGAGATTGTACTGTACTATTGTATATAATGTATAATACTGCGTCGTATTATACGTTACGTTAAAGTTTAGTTAGAGAATTCTGTGAACTTTGATTACGTCAGATCTGCTTTGATGGTAGGAGAAAGACAAGTAGAAGGAGAAGGTGGCTCGGGGTGTGGTCGACACGTCGTTCGACGTTCAACATCATTACAGTTGCGTTTGTTCTAGTGTCAAAAGCTGATTTTGTGAGTTTTAAATCATGAGTTCTAGGCGTAGTGAGACTACTTGTTCTATTATGGGACCTTACAAAGAACTTGACGATCGACAGCTACCAACTATAAGAGATGTTATGAAATATATTTTATTTGTGAAGAACGATCTAAAATTAAAGTATAATGGAAAGGATCCATCCAATTCAGAAATATATGCCATTGTTTCTGAAGAAGTTATTAATATTTGGACAAAAGCTTCGATTCCAATCGTAACTAAGGAACGGATTATTCAGTTACTAAAATATTATTTCGAAAAGTACCTCAGTTTGAAACGACACCCCAAAATCAAACGAAATAACAGTTTTGAAAACAAAGTGAAGTATTTTGTAGAGTCAGCTGAAAATCTTTTCGACGTTGCTGCTTGTAAATGTATTTCTATTCAATCTTGTTCCTGTTTAAAACATAAAAAAGTTCCCATCAATGATAGAGACTTTCTGTTGGATCAAAGAAATGACAGGAAAATGGTTATAGGCGGTGTTGATAAGAAAGAAACTGCCAGGTTCATAAAACGACAGCAGAGAAAAATGGAAGAATCAATGAGGGCAACAAAAAAGTTGTGTGTTACTCAAACGACCGATTCTATATCAGAAAATTGTGATGAAGAAGCAGTGCCTCACTCTTTCTCAACAGAGACACCGTTGACTTCCACGTTTAATAGAAATACGTTGCCGTTGCCAACAGTTGCTAAAGTCAGTGATAGATACGGTTTATCGATGCGATCTGTTGCTGCTGTTGCTTCTGCCGTTTTGGTTGATGTGGGTTTGGTTTCTACCGAAGATCTGACACTGGTTATTGATAAAAACAAAATCCACAGAGCTGTATGTAAAGCCCGAAGAGATGCTTCAAAAGATGTTGCAGGTATTGTTGTAAATAGCATTTACTTTGATGGACGAAAGGACAAGACCCTGATAAATGAGAAAATAGGGAATCGTTACCATCGCAAAGAGATTTTGGAAGAACACATCTCATTGTTATCAGAACCCGGATCAATTTTTTTGGGACATACAACGCCTAGTCGTGGCACTGCAAATGGAATTTTTACTTCGATCACAACTTTTTTTGAGGGTCAAAGTTTGAATTTAGATGCTGTAATTTGCGTTGGATGTGATGGAACTGCAACTAATACTGGCTGGAAGGGTGGCGTGATTCAATATTTAGAGGAGTATTTGGAGAGACCGTTACAATGGTGCGTTTGTTTGCTTCATGCCAATGAGTTACCGTTTCGTCACTTGTTCCTGACCATAGATGGTTCTACTTCGGGTCCTAGAGAATACTCCGGACCTATTGGAAAACAGTTAGTTGCTTATGAAAACAGCCCCACCGTGACTTTTTCTGGTATGAATGGTAATTTGCCTGACTTGCCAAAAAATGTAGTCAATGAATTAAGTACAGATCAAAAATATCTATATGAAATATGTCAAGCAGTATTAACCGGTTTCTGTACTCCTGAATTGGCAAACCGTCAACCTGGAAAAATGGCGCACTCCAGATGGCTTACTACTGCTAATCGTCTACTCAGACTTTATGTAAGTACGCTTAATCCATCAGAAAATTTACAATTGCTTGTAAACTATGTTGTTAAAGTATATGCTCCGATGTGGTTCAGTATTAAGCAAAAATCGTCTTTTAAGGATGGAGCAAAGCATATTTTTCAACTAATTATGTACTCTCGATTTCTACCCGAAAATCTAAGATCTGTTGTGGATACCGTTATCGAAAGAAATGCCTTTTTTGCCCACCCAGAAAACTTACTTGTGAGTATGTTGTTTGATGATAGAGATCACATTAGGGAGCTGGCATGGCGAAGAATAAAAAAAGCTAGAGACACTGAAAGTAACGATAAACGCAGAATATTTAAAAACACCAAAAATTAACTTCTCTGCTAAAGATTACACCGATATTATTATGTGGCACGAATGTCAGGTTACAACACCGCCGGTTCTTCGGCATATTTCTACTGAGGACCTTCACATCATGGTAAAAGATAAAAGCTTGGATATTTTTGACTTTCCCTGCCACACACAATCTGTGGAAAGATGTGTTAAACTGATTACAGAAGCCTCGCAGAACGTAACTGATGCTACTTCTAGAGATAGCTTTATCAGAACCAGGTTGCAGTCTCGGGCAGAAATGCCAAATTTTGGACACAAAAATAAGTTCAAATTTTAAGTTTTTGTCATCAAATATAGGATCTATTTTGTTTGTTAAGTTGTTTTGAACCTTTTTCATTAATTTTAATAATAAAATATCTTTTAAATTTAATTTGTGTATTATTTGAAGTATATGATTTAGGTCTGTACAAACGTAAAATTTACAAAACTTTAAAGTCTAGTAGAGCCCTGAAGGTGACGTGCTATCGTATTTATTTTACTTTTTTTATAATCTCTGGAAAATTACGCAAATTTGGATACGTCTTGCGATAGTGTAGCTCAAAAAGAAATTTTTTTATGCAAAGACGGGACACCCTAATGTACAACCGTTTGCACTGATGATGGATTGTTTAATCCGAAAACGTTTTGCAATGTGTTTGTGATAGCCCGTTTGAGGCATTTTTATATACCTTTTATAAAGGATTTTAAACAAAATTTTTTTGTGATATATGGTATACAGCCAGCTACAGGAACTTAGTTCCTTGTGGAATTTGATACCAATATTGTTGGGAGAACGGAAAACACTGTACGAGAGGCGTATGTAGTATTAAAAAATCATCTACAAAAATGAGTTTAAAAATAAACACCAACAAAATGAAGTATATAAAAATAAGCACGTAACCACAAATTCTACGACCACTTGTTATAGAAAACGACGTCATCGAAGCAGTGAACGAATTTGTATACCTGGGAGCACTCCTTAACACTGAAAATAATACTACCGCAGAGATAAACTGCAGAATTTGCACGGTCAACAAATGCTATTTTGGAATCAATTCCCTCCTTAAATCCACAATTATATCGAGAAATACAAAAATAAATCTCTACAAAACAATAATACGCCTAGGGCTAACATATGGTTCAAAAACCTGAACTCTAACAAAAATTAATGAAAACACGTTAGGATATTTCGAAAACAGTAATAATGCGAATCTATGGAGCAGTGAATGACAATAGAATGCGGAGAAGACGATACAACTTCGAACTTTATAGAATATACCAGGAACTAGATATCGTAAAACATATTAAGCTAGGACGTCTGAGGTA